AGAGTAGAAAATGCATACAGGTTATATAGGATTTTGGTCAGTTCAACAACATCCCGTCACTCATTAGGAGGGGCCCTGGCAGGAGAGATAAGCTTTCCAAAGGAACTGAAACTGTCAATCACTAATAGATTGAACCAGGGGCCCGTTCAGCAAGAGGGAAGTGAGGAAACTTGTCAGCAACAGATGGAGGGCTAAGAACTGGGGAACTTGATTATAAGACAGGGAAACTAAACAGGAACTTGCCCATTGCCCTGCGCTTGGTACCCAGCCCCCTCATCAAGTTCAGACCTCAGGCGACCTTAAATGTCACTTTCCAGGGAGACAGAGGACATGAACTAAAACACATCACCCAGACCTTACTTCGACATTTTTAAAGGTCATGAGTGTCAATACATCATTACAGACACACTTGCAAAATGCTGACAGAGGTCCTAAGCAGAAATATATTATTATAGAAATTGCTGAAAGTGCTAGTAAAGGTTACAAGCAGAACACATCATTCTAGGAACTGCAGTGGATGTGTCCATGTATGGTCTTAGGGAAAGTCTGCACTATAAGAAACCTTAAACTACATATATACAAAGTTTGCCATTACAGTCTCTAGACATTTCTGGCCAAAAGATGATGCTTCTTGCTCTGCGTTTGGTTGCTTCAATGCCGGGGTGTCCTCTGTGCACTATGTTGATGTACTCTCTGTGCAGGGACTGAGGAATGACAGTGTTGTGGCCTTTCATGACAATTCCCTCTTCTACTGTCATTTCATCTCTGTAGGGAAAGAAGAGACGGACAGCAGGTTGGAGCTGATTCTGTCGGATGGGCCATCCTCTATTAATGAATGCACTGAGGGCTTGCAGATCTTCGTCCTCTGCTGTGTGCTTTCTGAGTTCTTCCAGGCGGGCTGTGGAGATGTAGCTCACAGACATAACTTCATAAGCATCATTTTCAGCAGGGCTTTGAGATGTTTGTAAGGTTGGGGCACGTGAAAGAGTGTCTGCTACATACATATACTTGCCCTTTTTGTACACCAAACTGATGTCGTAGCTCTGCAGCCGGAGCAACATTCTCTGCAGACGGGCAGGGGCTGTGTGGATGGGCTTCTTTAAGATAGTCACTAAAGGTTGGTGGTCAGTCTCCACCACTACAGGCTTTCCATACACATAGTCTTTGAATTTTGTACAGGCAAACACGACAGCTAGCAGTTCTTTTTCAATTTGTGCATACCTCGTCTCTGTGTCAGTGAGGGTGCGTGATGCAAACGCTACTGGCCTGCCATCTTGCATGCACGCTGCTCCAAGTCCGTAGCATGACGCATCACAGGTGAGCGTGACTGGTCTTTTGACATCATAGTATGACAGAACAGGTGGACTTGATAAGCATGATCTAAGAAGGTCAAATGCATCCTGATGCTGCTGGAACCAACACCATGCAGTGTCCTTGTGGATGAGTTTTCTCAGTGGTGCTGCGATGTCGCTGAAGTTCGGGATGAACTTGCCGAGGTAGTTAACCATACCGAGGAAACGCTGTAGTGAGACAACGTCGTCGTTGGGGGGCGGGTCCAATGCAATTCCTGCCTTTTTCTGTTGTTAAATTACATCATTCTGGTGTCTGTGGTTATTTAAACATTCCCTAATAAACATTATTCAGCGGCAATAAATGAGTGCTAAACCCAGTGTGCTCAGTGTACAACATCACATGTCATTTCACCTTTGATTAACGGTTTGAAAATGTAGCATTTTGCCACATGCTAATGCTAACCGGAAGTGAATAATTTTCAGAATAAAAGTATTAAGTTAATAGTTAGTGTGAACTTCCGGTTTTTCAGAATAAAACTGATTTAAATTAAATAGTGTATTTAATTCAAATTACGCCATATCAACATTGATTTTAATTTCTAACAGGTTTCAGGATAATTAAAATTGTTCAACAGCTTTTCGTTTTAAGATGTCATGAGATGACACCTTTATGTTGTTGCTGCAAGCTTGCAAACTTGTCAAACAGGTTGTGCACTCGATAGGCTAGAGATGAGCATAAGGAAATACTCAGCATGACTATTTTATCCAGAACCTCCCATGTTTTACCAACAGAGTTTCAATTGTCCTGCTGTGACAAGGCAACAAAATCCTCTCGCCCAACCGAAAGGTTATGGAGTAGATGAACTGGCAACTTCAAGGGAACTTTTTAACTGCATATTGCAGTGTTGGGATTAGAGTTTGTGTTCTGCAGTGTAAATATGTTCAATCAGTTCCATGGCGGATACGGGTACAGGATTTCCCCCCTGCATCACATGACAGTAGTCATGGGTTTGTTATGACCTGCACTGTCCCATCACATGCACACATTTAATCAAGAACCCAACATGACTCATTCTAACCAACAAAATGAAATATAATTTTACCAATGTAGCAAGCCATATCAAAAAACGTCTCTTTGCTTAAGCCCCAAGGTCCCCGCCGGCAGGTACTTATTTTTCTTTTCACGACACTGGGGATCTTAATATTTAAGAACCTATTAATGTTTTATACCAGATTAACGGGAATAATCTCAGCTAACTGACCATACAAACCATTTTTACCAAAACAAAACACAAGTCTCATAACAAGCATCTAAATGACCGCTGAGCGAAAAATGTTAACGCACTTTGGCACAGAACTCAAGATAAAAGATACCCTTATTACTTATCGTAGCTGCACATACAATATATCCGATTAAAGCTGAAGTTCCACAGATTATTTAGGTATATATATCATCACTAAGTGATCCGAACTCTTGACAGGAGAAGCAAACACAGACATCACAACACGTACCTTTACAGAGCTTTTACGGGAGATCGTCTCACCGTAGCTGTCAATCTGATCAAAAGACTGGTTCAATGGCGTTAAAACGAGAAAAAACGCGGCTGAATCGGTTAATCCATAGGTTGATAATGTTTCTGGGTAATAATTCCATAATTCAATTTGTATGTAAAAATCGGAGAGTAAAAATTAGCTGCTAATGGTAGCCACCAGAGTTATCACAGCTTCCGGTCTTGGCTATGCGGCAGTCTCACACACACACATTACCAAATAAGGAGTATGTGGGAGTTCCCCTCGATTCCATTTACTCTGACTGTTAGAAAGAGATGTCAATCAGCAAAATCGACCAAGGGGGGCCAGAGAAGTGTTGTTTTTTTGCTAAATCTCTCTAAAAAGGTCACTTGCTTTGCATCAATCTTGATACAGGGTACTTATATGTTGTAGTTTGGATCCCTAAAGCTTTTAGTCTACCATCCCATCATTCAAGGGTGGTTTTCACTATAAGTAATTTTTTTTTTTGGACGGGCACAATAATTGAATTTTTTTTACTGTGTTCAATCTGAATTTACTTTAAAATAAAAACATCTATATTGATTCTGACACTTCTACATCCAACTCACAGGTGTAACCTTGCTTTGAGAAAAAAGATTATTAATTTAACCCTTTTAGAAGGGAAGATATGATCATTTGTTCTGGGAATGTCATTTTCGCTGAAAAACAGGCTCGGGGCTTAACAATTAAGATCATAATATCATATGAAACACAGCTTTATTTCCCTATGTTCTTCTTGACAATGATAAGTTCACGCACTCACGTTAGAGTTTTCTGAACATATGCTAATGTCTATCTATGTATTTAGGAAATCATTTTAAATATTTGCCATAAAATATGTTGATTGATGGCACGATGATTTAATCTCTTCTTTAAACTTCAAAACATCACACCAGACCCAGATGTTTAATCCCTGGCTGAGTGAACTGTGGCACAAGTATGAGGAAATGACAGTTAGATTCAATTATGGAACATTATACATATGTTATTATAGTATGTATTTTTATGTATTCCAGACATATTATACTCATCACACCTACAAACAAAGGCTATTGAAGTTTGAATTCAAAGCCAACTGTCACGGCTAGGCAAACCAGTATGAACCCAAAAGCACGACTCGACAAACAAAGTACAAAAGAAAGTCTTTACTGAAAAAGTAGCACTGTGAGCTCTCCGTAGAGGTAACAGGTTAAGGTAACAAAAAACACTCTTACGAGGAAAAGGTTAACATAGTATCAAAAATGCAAAGGATAAAGTACATTTCAAAACTCGGTTCTTAGCAGAAAACATGGACTTCACGCTGGCAGTCAGGCACATGGGATGAAACGAACTGGCAACAAGACAAGGGAGACAGAATCTATATACCATAGATATATACGCAGGCTAAGGGGGAACAGGTGCAGACAATTAGGACAATCACCGTGGAGGGAAAACACACAAAGGGAGGAAGTGAGGTAATCTGCAACAAGAAGGAAAGGTTACTACAAAATAAAACAGAATACAAGACTGAACTAAAAACATTAACTTAACAGATTTTACGAGACATAACATCAACATGCTTTTTGAATATCCATTTGTTTGTGAGGACATATACGATTTTGCCAGGTAACATTTTTGGATGTGAAATGTGTTTTTACATGTAAAAATTTCAAATAATCAATTAACTGCAAATTACAAAATACATATAATAAACTAATACTATTATATGGCAGGAGAAACAATGCTTGGGGAAAGGCTTTTCAGATTGTTAAAGTACAACATATTCAACAACACTGGGAATTTAACACAAATCACACACAAAGCATCTTTTTCTTTAAAACAAACTATTCGTTTTATTACTTTTGTTTTGAGTGATAGAGCCAGATGGGCTGAGCCAATTAATTATAAAGCAGCACTTACTCTGTATTCTCCCCCTTTTAGATTAGCCCACCTGTATTTAAATAACACGTTTATTGTCTCCCAAAATGTAACCAATTGTAAAAAAAAATCACATTTGAATTGATTTCTGGATGGATGGAGTTACATGATAGTAATGCTCAACCTATCTTGACAGGCTTTGACAGCTCCTCTGTTAGGTCCCGCCTCCTCAAAACCTCAAAAGCGGATAGGTGGACCGGAACAGAAGAACAGCCAATCACAGAGTCGTCTCTCTGCATATAGCATTACATGGTTACAACCACAACCTGTGCAGACACAATTTGCCTGATCGTGGCTAAGGAGTGCTGCGCGGATATTCGCTGTTAATACTCCGGTACATTTTCAAAATTTCGTTTTTTGACATAGTTTCTGCTGCTGCGCGGGGAAATAGACGGAGCTTTGGCGCTCCGTGTTTTGAAAGCCCGAAATAATCGCTGTCAGGAGGAGACTACTGTATTGTTGATGTCATCCGCGGCAGAGCTGTAGCGACCTTCAATTTCCAGACAAGACCAGGATAAACAAAGACTTGTTTTGGGGTGTTTTTTCGTCTTTGTTTTGTTTTGTTTGCCATTGACACCAGCAGCGATGATGGGACTTTTGCTGCGCCGTGCCCTGCTGTTATCCGTTTTCACTTTCACAGCCGGTCTAGATTCTAGGCTGGAATCCAACCCTTTCGGACAGTCGCTTTTTGCGAGGCATTCAAACATTAAAGCACAAGCAGCGAACATCGTAAAGAGAGCTCTGCCTGCATGGCTGGCTGCATCACCAATCCACAACATAAAACGAAGAAGCACCGAGCAGGGCGACTCCTGCAAAGCAATTAAAGGAGCTGACACCAAGTTAGCAGAAAACACCCACAGTGTAAGTTACCAACTGAGGTCCTGTTACTGATAATTAAATGAGCGTAACGCAGAGGATGCGCAGGTGCTAACCAGGTGCAACAATAATAGGCCTAATCAGCTATCATGTGCCTTTAGAAAGCTGGCGGCCTGTTTCCATTCAACTGTAGACTTAACCCCGAAGATATTGCACTGTGTTTCTGTTTTTTTAATTTGTTTTAAAGAACCTGGAAATGATTTGCTTGGAACCATCTTCCCTTACATCATGATTTCTCTTTGGCATTTGGTGCAGTGAAATACAGTGTGGTGAAACAGTAACAACGCCTATTTTCCTCATGCTTAAAGACCTACGTAGGCTGCACTGAAGCACTACCAGACAGGTTTACCTTTCAAATGCTCCAATAATTGACATGCCCTATATCTTATTCTTCTTAAGGATGCAGCTGTATTCTGTATTTGTGGATCCCACTTTTCTTTGCTTCAACTGACAGTGAATCTGCCTTAATGTTGACTGGGAAATTGGCCCAGTGGGATACATGTGACTGGCTGTGTGGTAGTTATTTTGTAATTAAAAGCTGTGTTTGTGTGGTGGTGTAAGGAGTTAGCAAGCAGGAAGTCTGCTGGAAACCAAGAGACTACAGCATTTAGTTGTTATCTCTTAAATCCTGAATAGTGGAGAAGGCTACATTTGGTCTCAACATATGTGTAGGTTTAAGTGCTTTAAGTGAAAGCACCCCAATTAATGCAGCTTATAAAGTATCTACGCAACTATGCAATGCTTTTCCTAAACAGTAGGCTGACCTCAGCAGAGTCCAGTGTATTTGCCTAGCTCCTCATTGTCATGTGATCAACTTTGCATCGCAGTTTTTGTATACTTGCCCTGGTAATCTAAAGTCGACAGAATTCCTGGAGGCTCAGCTTCGTCATTCCTGGTCATTCCCCACGAGTTAATGTTGCAGGTCCCACTGGTACTGGAGCTGTTTACAGCATGAACTGCTGGTAGAGACCTGCCTGAAACACGTAGTGAGTGTTCACATGGTTGAAGAACACGGGGAAAAAGTTTCACAAATACCATTTATAATCAGGCAGTTGGACAAGTATTTTAGTTTGAGCCCTACTGCTAAATTGACTTGATTTGCACAAAACAATCAACAGAAGCAAAGTCCGTTTCTTGTCCTCAGGTCTTAATGTGGTATTCATTAGCTATTTTCAAAGGTCTTCCCTGAAAGCAGTTTGACTGGAGCTTTCCGCCTGTTGAAATGAGTCGGATAAGAGGTGCTTCAGTTTCTACTTTGTCATCAGTGGAAGGAAGCACGGTAGTCAGAGCAAAACAAATGGCAAAATGCACAATTTGACTTCAGTTTGTAGTTGTGTGGTCAGTGCTAGGACTGTTAACTTGATCAGTTGCCTAATTTGTTGTTTTGGTCTTTGTCGTCTAAGATTTCTTGAGTCCATTCACCATTTTTATCAGCAGAATGATTTATTTCCAAGAATAAGCACATCTCGTGTTGCTTTAGCATGATTCTTTGTGGAAGAAACATGTCTGTGGGTCCATTAAACAAATCAATTTGCTGGCAAAATCGTAAAAGTGTTAGTAGACTAATTAGTGTGAATGCTGTTTACAGCATTCCACTATAGTTCTTCAAATCTTTAATGTACTTATTATTATTTCAACCAATATTTTGCCGTCGAATAACTTCAGCCTACTTTTAGCTACAGAAACCATTCAAATATAAAAAATGTTCAGCCTTTTCAGCACATGATGGGAAACTTTCAACTTTTTCGAAATATTTTATACTTTTTGAAATATTCAGCTTTTTAAACTATTTTTTTAACATGTAACTCAATGAGAGGAACCTTCAAATCCTCTTTTACCTACACCGTGCGCCAAATGCTACTCCTTCCACATACTTTCAGCTAGAGACTTCATTCCAACTTTAAAATGATCACAAGACCTTCAGCTATAACATTAAGTTCTTCAGATTTTTCATATATTTTACACTTTTTGAGATATTTAAGTTAGTTTGGAGCTTGGTAAAGAGGCTTTCTTCAGATTTTAACATTAGTGTGTGTATTGCGCAGCTCGCTTCTGCACTTCTGCACTTCTGCACAACCCATTCACTTTGAATGGGTTGACGTCACGATTCGCCGAACTGCATTGTGGGAGCAAAGCGTAGCTTCTCTCGCGGTGCTCGCTGCAAAAGTAGAGCAATGTTCTACTTTTGCCGCCTCGACGGAGGCGTCAGCCAATCAAATCCCGCGTATGCAAATCTGACAGCACAAGCGCTAGCCAATCAAACCGCGTGTATGTTGGGAGAGCCAGACCGCAGTTATTGCCCATATGTAAAAAAATGGAGGAGAAAATTATCGTGGCGGTAGGGAATCACCTGGTACTATATGACCAGTCCCTCTTTACATACAGGGATACAAACCGGAGGAGCCAGGCATGGGGGGAGGTGGCAGAGACAGAGGGTGAAACTGGTAGGTTTTCGCCTGTTTGGGGATTATATATCCAGTTTACTTCGTTTTAACATTGCCATTGCTTTGTATGTCGGGGGCGGGAGATTCATGTGATTGGTTGTTGGTCGCATTGCTCGCAAAAAATCCCCAATCTTCAGACACGCCCACCGCCAAGCGTCAACGCACGCTGCTGTGTGGACGCTCCGTATTAGACCCCATTTACACGCAAACGCATACGAAACGCAAACGAACCGAATACGAGACCGTTCGGGAGCGCTGGAGACGCTGTAGTACATGTGCCGGGCCTGTAAGTGACGCTGTACTCCCGCACGAGACCGCTCGAAAGCGCTGGAGACGCTGTAGTACATATGTCGGGCCTGTAAGTGGCGCTGTACTTTTGCCACAAAATACACCAAAAGCAGCGAAGAAGACCCCCGAGCATCGTTGCCATGGTTGCCCTTCTGTTTATGCCCCGCGGTGGATTTAGCAACATGTAGTTCATGTAATTCTCCATGTCCACTTGTTGCTGATGGTTGTGGTAGAGGAGCTGTAGATTTTGCACTAACATCTGTAGCATGGTCAGTAGCAGTAGCTACTGACCATGCTACAGCAGTGAGCAGCAGAGGTGGGGCTATGGCTTCATCGTTATCAGGAAATGATCATATAGGGCGTACACACGGAGCCGTTTGCCCCCCCAGAGCGTTCCGTTTGCAGATCTATCCACCTTGGGACCCGTTATCGTTTGCGGGGTCCGTTTACGCGTTTCCGTTATGGCCTCGTGTGAATGAACGGGCTATACGAAAGAGAAAAGTAACAGATACAACCGTTTAAACTTCCATAATTCCCAAACCCTACACTCCTGGGACATAATTGTATGCTTGAATTGTAGGAAAACATCTCTGAGCTTGAAAAATTAAAAAAAATTAAGCAAAACATTTTAACAAAATGCCTCTTGAGGGCATGAAGTGACAAAGACTTTCAACATGTCTCCATTAAGGCCCATTGTAAATTAAGCCTGATCTGTCCTCAGAGCAGCAGCTGCACACCTTTAGTAAATCTGCCAAAAATGCCACATTATTGACCCGAAAGTACACAAAAAGCACACTTCAGACGCTCGTCGGGGTCCTGAAATGCTGCACGCGTTGACATTTTACCGATATTAGCTACTGATTTCAAACTATAGTTAGAAATGTAAGAGCTTTATCTCTCATTCAGAACAACGGAAAGGCTCCCCTTTCACAGCACATCTCCATGGAAACCTTTGATCTCTGGGCTCACGTACACAGATGTTTGATAACGTTGTCACCATGGTAACCTTTGATCTCTGGGCTCACACACACAGGTGTTTGTAAACATTCATTCACTACTACTTACATTTAATATATAACTTCTTCAGCCTACTTTCAGCTGCAGAAACTATTCAACTATTAACTTATTCAGCTATTTCAGGACATTGAGGATATACATGTTGTTGTTTATACCTTTTTTTAAACCTTTTCTTTTAAATATTAAGCTTCTTCACTATTTTTCCTACTCTTCTAGTTTAACATTTCACTTTCAAGTTTTGAACAAAGTCATTGCAATGCTTTTGAGCTGTAACCATTTTGATTCAAATAATTTCACTTTTCTGCATTTCTCCGCTAAGTTCAGCAACACACTTACTTGGTCTCTGTAGGTAAAAGCAGCTACCATTCAACTAATAGAATATTCAGCTTTTTCTGCATTTTCAGCTAAATTCAGCAACAAATGTACACAGTTTACAGCATTCACATGCATTTTCAGCAGGAAATGCATTTTCTAATTATTTCTGCAGTCTAGGACAGCCCTAGTAGGTTTATACCTTCTTTTCAACTTAAAGTAAAACTTAAGTATTTTTACAGATATAGACATACTGCTCAACTAGTGCTGTGATTTGTAATATGTTTATTTTCAATCTTTCTTCAGTATACCTTCAATGACCTGAGTGGGTCAGTGTCGCTGGCCTGGGTTGGAGATGGCACTGGGGTGAGTGTTATTTTCTTCAGTTTTTTTGCACAAACCTGTCTCTCTTGCAGTGTTGTTTCTCTGTGACGGGAGCAGACTAAACTTTGCTTGAATATTGAGTGAACTGCATGAAAGTGACTGTGAAGTCTGCTTGCAAAGAACCTTGTTGATTTCATAATGAGTTCCCTCACATAAGGGTCTGATCTACATAAATAAAAGATCCAGGCTCCACTTTCTTAAAGCTAAACCTTATTTTCTTGGCAGGTCATTCTGGCTTTGACGACCTTTCAGGTGCCCTTCTTCATGATTAGACTCGGGCAGTCAAAACTCTATCGAAGGTAAGTCATCTAACCTGCTGGAAAAAAACAACTCATGTTTTGCATTTGATTTGCATTTACATCAACCGCAACCCTTTATGTGCTAGTGAAAACTACGGGAAGTCGTTCGAAGATGTGACGTCCCTCATCAACAACACCTTCATCAGGTCAGAGTTCGGCATTGCTATCGGGAACAGTGGGAAAGTAAGTCATGTCCTCATCATCAAATGTTGTACTTCTCTGACGTGCCGAACTGTAAAATACCTTTAGCCTTTGTTTGGTTTCATTAGTCTACATTTTGATCTCTGACTCGTAGGTGATCCTGACAGGAGAAGTTTCTGGAGGTCTTGGGTCCAGGGTCTTTGTCTCTGAAGACTTTGGAAAGAGTTTCATCCACCGCGACCTGCCCTTCATCCCCCTGTCGCAGATCACATACAACCCTGACAATTCCAATGTGCTTCTGGTCCTCAGCAACAGTGTAAGAATGGAACGATAGAGAGTTAGAAGCTATTTATAACTTTGTTTATAGAGCACATTTCATACATCTACAAATGAAACATTTAAACAAGGGCAAACGTATGATAATATGTGACAATCAACAGACAGTAAACAAGTAAAAAGTACCATAAAGTCTATTGATACTTGGAGCCAATGGTGTGTATACAAATAAAGGGGTGTTTGCTCTCTTTATTGTCTCCTATTAAATTGACGGTTTTGGAAAACCAGTAAAAAAAAGCATTGAAACAATCCTATCCATTAAAAATAGCTTTTGTTTGGAACTTACAATATGGGATTTAAGTAAGTTTGTCTATACAAACCTTAAAAGCTTTACAGTATGTGTGTATCTCATAGTTATAAGAGATCTGTCATTAATTAGAGAGAGTAAACAACCTTTTGCGTGACCTGGTTTAAAACCCTTAAGTAATGGCCTTAACCTCACTCCCTCATAGAAAGAATAAAAACAATGGTCAATAATTGTTTGCACAGAGCACATTTATTAACATGTCAATGTTATTTATGGGCAACTCATGTTCTGTACCAAGTTCTGTGTGAGCTGCGTTAACAGTGCAGTTGAACCAATATTTAATTACTTAATAAATCTATTTTTTCCGTCTTCAGAATGAACTGTGGCTGTCTGAAGATTTTGGCAGCAACTGGAAAAAGATCCAAGACACAGTGTGTCTTGTTAAATGGTAAGAGAAGAGGCAAACTTTGTTCACTGAGCACCTTTGTCAGGTGCTCAGTGAACAAACAGCAGTGTAACTCAAAATCCCCAAATGTGTCTCAGGTAAACATTTCTATTCAGTGAGATTAGGGAGTAGTTGAAAGACGGCATTCTTATTGGTGTGTCAACTGGCAACGATTCAAGAAGTGATAGAATTTGTTAGTCATATTTTTCTTTTGTTTTAGTTCCTCCAACATAATAATTATTACAGGTAGGATGAAAGCAGAGTGTTGTTTTGACAGTTATGCTGATTTGTGTTTACCTCAATAAGCTCAATGACAACATGTTCATAATTTTCCTTCAAAGACTTGTATCTTTGCTCCAAAATAGGCAGTAAAACTGCATTGCATTACAGTCGGTGACTGTAAAACCAGCTCAGCTGAGGCCGAGCCCTTGCAGCACTCTTGTTGATTTACAGTAGAGTTACTTCCTGGTTTGTATTGCTTGGTAACCTTTGCAGCTCTAAATACTGTATATTGTTACCTTTAAATCTGTGTTTTCAAAGTCACTGTCTGAGAAAAACTGCATGTACATGACAGTGTTCATAAAACATCAACTTTTATTACTATCCCAAAGATGTTCATTTGAACAAGCTCGAGGAAGTTAGGTCATTTTAATCTTGGGCAGGAGTTTTGTAAAGTCAAAGCCCAACATTAAAAAAAACGTAAATATTTAGTAAGGGCATGACTGAGTTGTCTTTGCATTTGATAAGCTATGTCATGCAATATCTATTTTCACTATGAAGCAAAACCTACTATAGGAATAAACAGAGGATGCATTAGGAATCCTGAGAGACCTGATTTCCTCTGTGCTGGTTTTGTTGTTTATTGAAACGTGAGCATTTGTCACATACTTAACATCAACAAATCCCTATACATCTACTGTAGTAAGCTTAAATGTCCTTGACTTTGGAGGCTAAAATGGGTGTTTCTGCTTATCTGAAATTCTTTCTTTTCATTGTGATACCAGGGGAAGGAAAAATACAATTTTCTTCACATCCAGCCGGAATGGATCCTGCGGTAAGTCATCCCTTCTTAAAGGTCCCATGTCATGGCCATTTCTACTGACCATAATTCCATTGTTGAGGTATACTAAAATAGATTTATATTGTGCAATTTTCCAAAATTGCATTGGTTTCTCATACAGCATCTCTGTATATTATGTGTATTCACTCTCTGTCCTAAACGGCTTGTTGGAGCTCCTGCCCCCCCTCCCTATGAGCCCAGTGGCCGTCTGCGAGACAGCGAAGCCCAGCCCGAACACACACACACACACCCGCAGCCTGGCTGGGAGTTTGTGTGTGTGCTCACATACCGACTCACAGCCTCGCCGCATCCCGCCGTCTCAGGGAGGAGAAATCGGCTGAGCTGCAGCTGAGAAAAGATTGAGTGTGTGTGTGTGAGGAAGTCCGCGGATTGGTCAATTTGGACCAATCCGCGGACGTAACGTAACGGCTCCACGGATTGGTCCATTTGGACCAATGGGTCCATTTGGGTCGTCGTTACGTCACGTTACGTCACCATGAAGAAAAAGAGAAATCTCCAACGAGGCGTTCTGGGGCAGCATAGACAGGTATTTTCTGTGTTAGAGTTTTACTCGCTACAGGGTGTACTTTGAGGGTTTGTGACTTTGCAGACCGTTTACATGCAGAAAAACCTTCATAACACACAAGGGGACGGGTAATAACCAGAAAAACATGACATGGGACCTTTAAAGCAAAACCTAAAAATACATATATTTTTTTATGCATATGTTAACTTATTACTCTAACATGAAAAAGCTAAATATTTATAAATATATCCTTATTTTCATGATTGTGGGTCATATTTCTTTTAAATGCTATATGCAACTATTAAGTAACTCTTGGAAAATGTATTTCAAAGTAGTCCATTGTTTCTTTTTCCAGTGGATCGGGGAATGCTGGATCTGAAGAGGTCTAGCAACTATGGTAAAACCGTCAAGACAGTCGCTAGTAAGATCTACTCCTTCGGTCTGGGTGGACGCTTCCTCTTTGCCTCTGTGATGACAGGCAGGGTCAGTATACATCAGGTCCTAGTAACCAGCAGATAAGGAAACATGATCTGGCATCCAGAGTAAAAATATTTCTCGCCTGTCTCTGCAGGGAACTCTCAGGATGATCCATGTGTCAGTGGACCAGGGTGACAAGTGGAACATGGCCCAGCTGCCCCCTGTCGGGCACGAGCAGTTCTACTCCATCCTGGCAGCCAACGACGACATGGTCTTCATGCACGTCGATGAGCCTGGAGGTCAGTCTGTGCAGAAAACTCACCTGTTTCCTTGTGAAAAGCATCACCATTTAGGAATAGTAGGCAGCGTGTAGAGAATGTAAAGCATGTACTTTTGGCTATGTTTCTTCTCTACATCCACAGATACAGGATTTGGCACCATTTATGTATCAGATGACCGGGGCACCGTGTACTCCAAGTCATTGGAGCGCCACCTTTACACCACCACGGGGGGCGATACCGACTTCACTAATGTCACCTCCCTGCGAGGAGTATTCTTCACCAGCGTTTTGGCGAAAGGTAGTTCTATTCATATGCCTGTGCTTGGTAAACTGATAGCAAACACATGCCTGTACTCAAACTCCCTTCAGAAAGACATATACATATTACTTCTTCATTACATACCAGAGGCAGGGCGTCAAATCAATATTTAATTAGCTGTTCAGAGTTAGATGTCCTGCTTTTTTTGATGCAGCTGGCTCACACTTCACTAGAAATATCACATCACCAGCTAAAGCTTGACTCCATCTTGTCTGCGGCGCTCTAAATGGTCTGTTTACAAATCTCCTTGTTCCTTTTTCTTAAATTCTAACCCATTTTACAAGACAAGTTTTCCGTTTTCATCCTGCCAAATTTATCCATTATTACTGTGTGTTTCGACTAAGAAAGAATAAAGAAATACACACACACACCCACACACACATTTCGAATGTGATGCTACTTAATACCATATCTGACATTTATTATGGCTTCTTTAAATAAAACGTGCTTTACTTCCTACTAAACTGCCCCACAAAAAATGTCGAACACTGAACAGAAATGAAACATATTGTTTAGCTAAATGTTGAAGACTACCTGTGAATAATATTGATGTCTTGTTGTTCCAGATAACTCTGTGCAGTCTGTGGTGTCCTTTGATCAGGGAGGGGAGTGGGTCCCCCTGAGGAAACCTGTCAACAGCAAGTGCGATGCTACAGCTAAAGACCCAGACAAGGTAAACAGAGAAAAGAGGAAAAAGAAACAAAGATAGAAAGTAGATCATTCTTGATAGAAACTGTGTACTTTGATGAAATAAGTATTGATAAACTAGCTTTTGTATTGTAGTGTCAAAAAGGCTAAACACAGCACATTAGAAGTTTCTTTTTTTAAATGTATTATTTCAACCTCTACAGTGTTTGAACTGTAAACATTCAGATTTATGTGTTTGTGTCTACAGTGCACTCTCCACATCCATGCGGCCTACAGCACTGCTATGAAGCTGAACGTCCCCATGCTGCCTCTGACTGAACCAAACGCTGTGGGCCTCATCATATCTCACGGTAACTCAGTTCAGAGCTTTCTATACCATTATCATTTTTTTAAACAATCCAAGAATGTTTCCAAAATACAAACATGATTTATTTTGTTCCATTCTGACCCCTTTCTATCTCACCAGGGAGTGTTGGGGATGCCATCTCAGTGATGAAGCCTGATGTGTATGTGTCTGATGATGGGGGGTATACATGGATAAAGGCCCTGGATGGGCCCCATCACTACGCTATTCTGGACTCTGGAGGGCTGCTGGTTGCTGTGGAGCAAAGCCTCATTAAACCTATCAACACCATCAAGTGAGTCTTTGTTAGGGAATGGATCAGTTTGTTTGCTGATGCTTTGAGTCTCTATGTGTTGTCTTTACCTGATTTATATGTAATAAACTGCATGCAGTACAACTCTCTCACATATGGTTTAGCTTTACTGTAAAAGTCCCGTATTTAACAGATTTTCAACAATATATTATAGGTCTCAGATATATACAAAACATGTCTCTGAAGTGTTTGGCTCGAAATACCAAACAGATCACCCATTGTAGCATCCCATAATCCCCTCTGTTTCAGCCCTGTTTCAAAAGTGCTGATTCTGTGTCTGTAGCTTTAAATACAAATGAACTGCCACTCCCCACGCCCTCTGCGAGATATTTGGTTAAACAAAAACACAATAGGCGCGTTCACACCGCAGTACTTTTCCCACTTTAGTTCCGATATAGTTCCGAAATGTTGCGTTCACACCAAAAAAAATAGGAACTAAAATGAGTTCATGAGAACCTTTTCACCCCCTTTTCCGTCCCTGCTAGAGAGCACGTACTTTCGTGGGAGAAAAAGGTTCCTATTTCTGATTGGCTGGGCGGATTGCAAACCACGCCCCGTAAAACTCCCAAAAAGTTTTGTGAAGCCGCCATTTTATTATCCTCGCATTAGCATTAGCATTAGCCCAGCTCACAAACGCAGAGAGACTAACTTATGGCAACACAAAATAAAACATGGGAGTGGTGGAGATGAGGAGGTGTCGGCGTTCTGGCGATTTACTCGGAAGGCTTCAGTAGAAGCTGCTGGGAGTCCCAGCAGCTTCTACTGAAGCCAGTCCCCAACTCCGGGGACTTCCGGCCGGGGACTTCGGGTGGCAGTATACGCCGTGAAGTTGCCAGTAAACCCAAAGCAGAAGAAGAAGGCTTAATTTGCCTAATCCTACCCCAGGGACTTATTCCGGTGTGAACGCGATCTGTACTTAGTTCATCAGAACTAAAGAGTTTTCATGAACTAAGTTCTGATGAACCTTTGTGGGAAAAGTACTGCGGTGTCAAAGCGCCTAATGGTGCTCTAGGAGGAGATTCAGGTGATAAGGTGGGGGGGTTACCTCGGTTGGTTATTGGCTTTAGGTTACACAACCCAAAAAAACATGATGACATCATAAAGTGGCCAAAATCTGATCAGCTCATTTTCAGACAGGTTTTTATTAAATGGATCAGGACAAAAAGAGAGAGAATCTTTTTTCCTGAAACTTTCACAATCTCTTTACACAGAGGGGACACATGTTTATGTATAAGAGACATGAAGAAGTGGATTTTGCACAATAGGTGACCTTTAATATTTATTGGGGTTATGCTAATGTTTGTACTTTCATGAATGTCCTGACAGATTTTCTACTGATGAAGGACAGTGCTGGCGTAATTACGTCTTCACCAAAGACCCCATCTACTTTACTGGGCTGGCCTCGGAGCCGGGAGCTCGCTCCATGAACGTCAGTGTCTGGGGCTACAGAGACGCCCTCCTCAGCCAGCACTGGATCTCCATCACCATCGACTTCAGGGATCTGCTCACCAGAGACTGTGCGTGACAGGAGAATATGTCTGATACAACAAACTGACTGTCAATATTTTGTGTTCTGATTGAGTTATATGTAACAAAACATTGATGAACGCAGGTGGTGATGATGACTATGTGCAGTGGTTGGCCCACTCTGATGACATCAGTGACCCCAAAGATGGCTGCATGCTGGGCTACAAAGAGAAGTTCCTGCGTCTCAGGAAGGACTCTGTTTGCTGGAACGGACGAGATTTCGAGGTCAACACGTCGCCGACCCCCTGTTCGTGCACCCTGGATGACTTCCTGTGGTAAGACATGTGCCCCAAATTCATACTAATATTACTGCTTACTGGCGATAATTGTTTTTAATTTGAAGTAAAGTTGTTGGTGTAAAGGTCTTGCAAAGTATAGGAAAAAAGATTGCTCAATTAAATGTGATTAACTCAAAAATCAAACAAAAATGGATGCACTTTAAAACATAAACTACAGTAACTTGAGAAACATTCCATATTAAATGTGTCAAACTTGTATTGATTATCAGTGTAAACGTATCCGGGAAAGTATTTTTCCTTTGAGAAAAGAAATTACTGTGAGAATTAAAACGTTCATGTAAATCAAATTAATTACAGATGCAAGAGGACATATAGGCTTTTCTTCCACCCTTACTCACGATATTTTGTCTCTCTGCAGTGACTTTGGTTACTACCGTCAGGAGAACAGCTCTGAGTGTGTGGAGCAGCCGGACCTGAAGGGCAAAGTGCTGGAGTTCTGTCTGCAAGGCAAAGAGGAACAACTGCAGACCAGTGGGTGAGTGACTGTGTGGACCCTCTCCTGTGTTTATTAGCACTACATGATTCACTTCAACTAGTCTATAATGATAAGTCTGCTTGATAATGTATTTATCCATTTCACTATTTACAATATATTCAAATATATTCAACAATGTATATTGCCACATTTTATGGTAGATAGTGACAGAAGATAGCTGTCAGTGTTTGTCCGAGTAGAGAAGTAATGAGGAAGAGGAAGTAGAGATCAGTCAGGGGAAGCAGAGGAGGGGGAGAGTGACTCTCATGCTTTCAATGAGGAACAATGAAAACAAATAATGATAAGAAGGACACGCACATCTCAGAGTCTGATCTGACATTGAACGGGTGCTTGATCAAATTGAATAAAGTTAAAACAAGAACAAATGATTTGCACACTCGAAGGCTCCATTTGAAGGATTGTAATGGTGCTGTGTAATGTTTTAAGAGTGAATGTTGACCATAAAGGAAAATGACATTTTTGGTTCACAGATCTTCTTTCATTTTTGTATTTATATGTTTAATTAGCAAGGGCAGAGGGCGTTTTAGGATTTTCATTGCCATTGACTGCATCCCTTTAGATTGTTTATTTAGTTAACTTGAAGTTGGACTTGAAAATCCAGTTAGACCATTGTGTGTTGTGGGAACTCCCAGTGAATTGGTGTTTAACTTCTGTACTGTCACGTTTTCCTCAGTGAAATTGAATACTTTAGTGGTGTATACATTATTTTATATCTGTGTTAACAGTAACAGGAGGGATCTTAAAAAAAACATTGCATTTTGATATAAAAAAGGGGCATGTTCTTCTTCTTTAAAAAAAAAAAATATAATATTAAATAGATGATACATGTGTGAAGTTAGTGGGTGACAATATGACTGGGATGTGATCTAAACTTAAATTAACATTAGGTGATATTAACTGCTATAGACCGATCTGCATTTGAATGTTTATCCGTGTCAGTTGGAAATATGCAACTATCATACTCTTGATGTGTCTTTGGTCCACAGCTATAGGAAAATCCCCGGAGATAAATGTGAGGGAGGAAAGATGCCTGAGCGTAAAGAGATCGACCTCAGTAAGAGGTGTGTGAGTGACCTGGTGGGCCCTGAACTTCTGGTCAGTACCTCTGCCTACTTGTGTAAAATGTTACGTATATTGATTGGTTCTAGTCGTATGCTTGCCTTCAGTGTGTCTGTTCCCACAAGTTTTAACAGTTGCCCCTGCCATTATTTGTACAGATCGACGGTCCCTCCTCCAAGTCTGTACCCATTGTGATAACAGTCCTCATCGTCATGGTGCTGAGCATTGCAGCCGGAGTCGTCTTCATCAAGAAATATGTCTGTGGTGGCAGGTTAGTGTATAGTGTATATATATATATATACAGGATAGCCTGTTCAGAATGCAGACTCTATCTTTATAATTCAGTATTTATTTTCATCTCCATCATGTCTTTTAAGTGTGTTTTCCAGATACACATTTACCGGATCATTTATTTTGTGCCCTGCAGGTTCCTGGTTCACAGGTACTCTGTGCTGCAGCAGCATGTCGAGGACAATGCTGTTGAAGGGATGGACGACCCCCTGGACACAGACCACACTCAGAATGGCAAGATAGAGTTTCACGACGACTCAGATGAGGTACAGTGTGGATACTTTTCACTCCCTCATACTCAGGATAAGATAAAAACAAATACACTTGTACTATTAAGATTGGGCCATTGTTGTTTGCTGAGACCCAAAACATGTGTGTATTTCTTTAAAGCATGCTGCTTGGAATGTCAAATTCTGAGAAATAAAGAAGTGACACAGAGAAAAAACAAACAAACCAGACAAAAAATTATCTGCAGCACAACTTGATGCTGGATACAAGTTGAATCTTGAGTCCTTCGGTCTACTTTAACTACAGCCTGCTGTAACAACAAATGGTGGTGGAGGTGAAGAAGGAAAGAAAGTAATGTAATACACTTGAAAGGATACTGGTAAAAAAAATGCCAGGGCCCTCTGGTGGACAAACAGTATAATGTTATTCTTGCTAAATGATGTTAAATAAATATTTAGAATTTCTGTACTGCTAAATCTTGCCGACATATGTATGTGCTGATACGAGAAAAAAAATGTAAAAGATTAATTAATAAGCTATCATTAGCCGTAGTCATACTCTGCAAGTTTAAATCCTTTTTCACATATAATTTCCTCAAAAATGATACAATCTTTAAATACAACAGTAATTGGTCCGGTGTAAGAGAATTCATTGTAGCTTAAAAAAGGGAATGACTTTAAATTATCGCTACAAAGTCATGTCCTTAACTACACCTAGAACACAGCTCCTTAAGTAACTGAGTTGGGCGCATGTGTAAATAAAACCATAATGGATGTTCTTGTTTGCTTGGCTACAGGCTTCATTGATATTTTCTTCTCTTTGTACAGGACATGCTGGAATAACAGGATTAACCTGACATGCTACTGAGCAACAGTTGAGCTTCCAGTTTTTGGCCGCTGCTCCTGTCTCTTTCGTCTCCAACTACTTCTTCCTTTCACCTTCTAGTATGAAGTTTGGCCTCAGCTATCAGATGGAGAGTCTGCGTTGCTCTGCTGTCATCTATGAAGTATGATGAATGTACGGAAGCTTCCTGGGACTATTTCCACAGTGGGGGAGGAAGGGGGTCTTGTAGTATTGTGCTTCAGTTATTGATTCTGTTGATTGAGTTTAAGTCTCTAACTTATTTATTTTAAGGAATGAAGTACTGATGCAGTAATTTAAACTGCTGACAGAGTAATGGGGTTTGAAGTGAAGCTACTTGTATAAATCCACCACTGCATTATGGGTCCTGCTTCGCCCATCACCTGGGAGCGCTCGAAATACTTCTCATTTTGGTTGAAGATCCGAGACCTTTTTTCTCATGCACTCGTACATAAACCTGTTCTTCTTTGCTGTTTTTGACAATTTGCTAGGTGTTATAACGATTGCTGTTTGTAGCTGGTTAATAACTCTCCAAAACAATTGAATCCCATCTTTAAATAAGGTATTTGACAGCAAGGAGTATGTAAATGTGAGGTTTTTGAGCCTTCTCCTCTGTTGGCACAGATTTGTGAAATCCCCTGTTGTAGTGTATATTTGGAATAAAAGCCAGTGTACTTTTACTCCATGGCATTTAGAACCACGGATGAAGTAATAAGACCCGAGTGGAAATTGCTTTACATTTTTGCATTAGGTTTGATAGCAATAACAATGTTTGGATTCAGTTTATTGTCCGTGCATGTGAAATAATCCCATTGGCACAATATCTCTAATTTATCCAGCTGTTCCTTTTGATGAATGGTCATTGTGTGAAACACATTACGCATAACTGTATAGGGGGGTAAGGTGTGTCTGTTTCAAGACAGGATTTGTGTATGTCTGCAGTTCTAACTGCCCAAAGCACAAGGTCGTTTGTATGCTAGGAGTTTGTAATTTGACATTTTTCCTTAATGTGACCTAATGATTAACGATCAGTCTGTAATAATCACTGTAGTCATGCACACATCATGTTTATAGTAATTTGAGCAGTTTTTGTACTAACACACTTTTGAACTGTTACAAATTGTGATTCAAAGAAGTCAAGAGTACGAAATAATTCTAGTTTGATAGTAAATATCTACAGTTATTTTTTACATCAGATTCCGATGATTGAATACATTGATATGATTTGGCATGGAAGCAATAAGAAATGTTGTATAGCATATTTAACAATGTAGCCTATTAGAGTTAACGGACGTGGTGTTTTTTTATTTGCATTTGCATCTGAGTTTGAGCAAATACACTGAATTATTATCGAAGGTTTCTCATTTCACAGAAAACTGCTGTTTTTTAAAATGATCTTCATACTATTGTCTCAAGTCTTTAAGGGATTCTCTTTTTTCCTACTTTTTAACATTTGTTCCAAAATTATTTGTCCTTCTTATTTGAAATACAATGCTTTCATGCAGGTTTTATTTATTTGTGACTTGCAGGTTCAGAGTGCAGTAAATTGGATGTGGTTATACAAGTGCCTGGTGTCAGGATAAGATGTGAGGCCCTCCTAATGTGTGGCCAGCATCTATTTACTGAAAATGATCTGCATCAACTTATGTGTAACCAGTCATATCAAGTTTGTCAGTGACACCCCGAAGTAGCTCTTGTTGTCTAACATGAATCCTTTAGCAGTGACAGACGTGTTTCATACCAGCTCCCTCTGAACGGCATGTTACATTTCGATATTTAAATCAAAAGAGCTTTGTAAAGAAAATAGCCTAAAATAAATAGGTTATTTTCTCTGTCATGTCTTGGCACAATACATAATTCTGAGTGAAACTTTGACGAGATTAAACTCCATACAGGGTTATTATGTAGCTGCTACAAACTGGGAGACACTTGGCAAGGTTTTTTTATGGGTTTATTGCATTCATAAAAATGTAACGCATTTTTTCTTACGATTTAAAACTGCTGTATAAATTAATAATTCATTGTGATGGTTCTGTAACTATACAAGGTTACATCTTTGTGTCTCTCTTATGTATATTTGAGGTTTTTTTCTTTGGGTTTGCCAATAAATTCATATGTTCCTCTATTTTTGTCACATGATTTTTATTTAATAGCAATGTTATAATATATCGTTTACCAAGTCACTGAGTAATCCATTACTGTACATGAAACGGTCCAACGCAGGAAGCCATCAGATTCGATACAGAAAGTTTCCCTCTGCATCAAAGAAGTCATTGCCATCTTGCACCACAGGGCAAGCCTCTAGTGTTTCCATAATCTCTTCAAGTTCTTCTTCTGTGAACAGCCGTCCATCCCAGCTTTCCTCGTCATCTTCATCTTCCTCTGTTGGATTTGTGTTGTAAATGCTGTCCTCTTCTATTGATGTTGTCACAGGGATGTCATAACTAACATCAGCTCTGAACTGGGCGGGCACAAGAGAAAAGGGGGAAGGACTCTTAGTGACTAATCCTGAGCTTTCACCACGAAGCATCACAGTCTTGTCAGCCACAGGCACCACGGCAGATTCAACATTTCCAGGTTGGAGTAGCGCTGTTGTGCGGTTTCCAGACAGTTTCAGCCTGTCCTGCCCTGCTGCGGCTCCTGAAGGCAGCACCTGCTGACCGAGTCCGGACAATGCTCTGGTGTCCTGTTTGAACTTTTTTTCAGGAGTGGGGAGAAACTTGGTCTTGAGGACTCTCCGGATGACATCAGGGCTGACAGAGTATCCCTCAGCCAGACGCTCAACTGTCCACTCCTCTGGTTGCTCCTGCTTCAGATATCTGAAAAATAAAGTATCACTTTAAACATCATTTATACAAATACTGTGAAGACAGAAAAACTCATCAAGAGAGTTGTTAAACTGAGATTACAAAGGAGTTTTTGGATACCAACTCACCAAGACTTCCATGGCACAGTTTTGAGTAAATAAATCATGTAACAACTTCTTATTTTTTTAAGTTATTACATGACCCTTTTAAAACATACCTGCAATTAATAATAACACTATCCTATGAAAAAATATCAAGGAAAATAAATCATCCTTCTTGGGAAAATATGCAGTCAAATATCTTCATGAAGCAGGACCAGATAACCTTTAAATGTCATAGAACTGCATTTAATACTGCACATAAGCAAAATGTGATTTTTCATTCACATAAAACATTATTTATTTTAATTAACTCCACAACTTAACTTATAGCAACTAAATGTTCAATGTATCCTTAGGGTTTCTTGAATGTTGATACACATTTCACCCGAATTGAGAGAAAAATCCAAAATATCATTACCTAAAAAAATAATTTGAAGTAGGCTACATCTATAGGCTTTTGCAAGGTTCCATTAATTAAATAGGAGTTTTACTTATATCCAGGCGTCCATGACATAAACTGGGAGTTGTGCATTAGTATTGAAAGACCCTCACTTGATCTGCTCGATAGCATCCCAGGTGAGCTTCCTCTGTGGAGCTCCTGGTGGAGTCATCTGCCTTCTCAGTATGTGATATTTCACAGTCTTCTGCTTTTTTCTCTGCTCACTGAAACACATGGGAGACATGGTTATATTTTAGGCCATTATAATCCCAGGCTCCTCCAACAATACAATATACTTACTCTAGGACATACAAATATGTACAAAAAAAGTGCGAAGGATATTGATGCAAGTAAAATGCAGGAATACGAAGTTATAGGCAATATAAAAAGACAACCAACATAGCATTGTATATTATGTTGTTTATTTCATGGTGGAATAATGTTGACTCTTACTCAAACAAGACCTGGAGTTTGTCCTCCACATCCTCCAGCTCCATGTCATACATCTCCTCGCTGTCTCTCTGGGCTCTGTTGGGAACCTTGTCTCTGCGCACATGACTCTGTGCCTTGTTCAATGCTTTGCTCGCAAATCGACAGCTGGTCATAGAAACAGAGGGCATCACTGAGCGAGCACCGAGCCTGTAGAGGAGGGAGAGGGCCTGCAGAGGTCTGGCCATGCTCACAGTCGCTGTGTGCTCCTTTTTCAGATAATGTCACGAGCTTGTTAAGCCAGAGAGGGAGACACACGTTAAGTGACACACAATAACGCACGTCCAGAAGTCAAACTGTCCACATGTTCATAACAATTAGATAACTTGCTTGTTCTGTTAACTAAGGTTAACTCAACAAGAATACCTCCTCCACTGTCATGCCACCATCCCAGCATGAAACTCTTGCATGGACTTCCGCAAACATGACTGTAACTACAGGAAGGCGGCGCCGTTCTGCCACCTGCCGGAGTGGAGGTGCAGTGTTGGTAAGTGTTATTTAGGAAAGTAGGGCAGCCAGGTACCGAGTACAAGATACATGGAAATGTACTAAATGTGCAAGGTAATATACACAAAAAAGTGTAATTTCATATCAGTACTTTTGGATTACTTTAAAAAGAAACATTGAAAATATTGCACCTTACAGTAAACCACAACATTATGAGAATGTTTTCAATACAAATTTAAAATGTATTTGACATGTAAAGCATTAACAGTTGGTCAAATAACATTGGAACAAATTACAGGGGTACTATTTGTTCTAAAATATATATTATTTGCTTTTCATGGGTTAATATCATTGGTTATCATAAAACATGATTGTTTGTATTTTTAAATATGCTATATTTCAAAAAATCTTTATCAATGTCACTATAAAGCATTTGCACATTTATTTAAAGGTTAGCTGGGATGAATATAGTCATTGTTATTGTAATTTTTCATATTTCATAGGAAAACTATCAACACATTCAGAAAGTATGTGAAATTGATGGAATGTGAAGACCGTAGTTATTTATTTATGTCATTTTATTTATAAACTTTCTATTTATTTTTACTTTGTGACAACATAGCAGCCCAAGGGAGCTGTAAAAACCCAGCCCTGGTAGCCCAGCGGCGCCCCCCGCCGGGCGCCCCGGGCCCTGCACGCTGTCCCCGGGTACTCGTGTGTCACGCAGCTGCGCACCTCCTCCCAGGCTCAGTTGTTTCATTTGCGCCATTTTGTCCGCTCACTTTGTTGATTGGGCTTTAGCGAGCTGTACTGGAGGCTGGAGCCAATCAGAGGGAAACCGGACAGTGAAGATACGGTAAGGGAAACCCGATTGAAGGCATTCGCAGTTGTCAGCACGGATTGGTTTGCCATGGACCAACCAAATTACTAACCCGGCTAAATGCAAAAAAATCGAATGTCAGTATTATTTCGACCACTGTGTCCCGGACCGGTTAGACTGATAATAACTGCTTGTTTTCGGCTGCTGTGAGGAAACATGATCTGTGGTGGTCGACAAGCCTTAGCTAACGTTAGCTGAAGGGAATCTCAAACAAAGGGCGGGTTGAAAAAGCCAACGTCCTCCCATCAGTAGACGTCGCCTGGCAAATTATCATTATTTTTTAGCTAACCTCATACTAAACGTGCACCTAAAGGTAGCTTTTTACCGCTTGACTATCCTCCCTTATTTGCTTTTTTAGCGTTTACCACGCTGTTCGCTAGCTGACTGACGCTAGCATTTAGCTCCCACGACACCTAGCACAACACCTCGTTAAACCAAGCCAGCAGCTGATATCAAACAATCAGTCCTTTAATATCAATATCCTTTAAATGTCAGACATTACATTTGACATACGAGGATTAGTGGAAATATAAAAGGCCGTGCCTGTTTTAAATATTGTCTAATCAAACAATGAGTTGGCAGCACTAACCTTAGATATCGTTTGGAAACCCCTTGTTTTTTTCCATGGGTGATATGAGGTTGTGAGATGATGTACAAATACAAAAATACATGATTAAGAATCATAGATTTAATTCAAGCTCATACTGTATGTGTTTTTCTTAGGTTTTCAGAGAGATTTTTGACAAATAACAAGCCATGGAGCAGTACACCACTGCCACCACTTCTAATGGGGAGCAAATAGTTGTGCAGACTTCCAATGGACAGATCCAACAGCAGGTAACAGGATTTACTCTGAAAAAACGTGGTTTTGATAAAGAAATGTCTACAACACTTGCACTGTATTCGATAAGATCACAGGTAACAGGCACCCACAATTAAAGCGTTCCAGTGGATCCCAGACAAAGCCTCTCTTCCTCATAATTATTTTTATTATTATCTGAGACTGTATTGTCCTGTATTATCCTGCCTTGCCTGCAGACACAGGGCACAGTGACGGCTGTGCAGCTGCAGACAGAGGCGCCAGTGGTGACGGCCTCAGGCCAGCAGGTGCAAACACTCCAGGTAGTGGTGTCAACGCCGCCGCCCTGTCAGAGTTACAACCGTGTTACAGCCTACCAGTTGCATGCTACAACCAGGGCTGTGTTTCATGACCCATCTCTGTACTGTTTGGTTCATCCTCCCTCCCTAGCATGTTCTAAAGCTGCCTGAGCTGCATGTTCCTCAGCACAGTTTGTTGTGTGTCAGCCTCAGGTTTCCTGCTCTCATGACTCCTCTTTGTCTGAGTTATGTTTGTCTCTTGCAAGATATGCAAGTCAGATGTTGTTCTACCCAGTGAGGATGAAATCTATCTGAAACACAAGCCTTGTGGATGTGTTTTGAACTTAGAAGGACCAGCATGGATCCATAGTCATTACTCGCTGTCACTTCTCATCATCTAGCTATATTTTCCTTATTGTCTTGTTGTGGCATAATGGCAGTAAATTCCTTAAACTCTGGTATTTTTCCATGTGGTACAACTGCGGCCAAAGGCTTTCAGTTGTCTTTTGCAGTCACTCATTTTATATTTTATAATTGATGCCAATTGGACCTCTGTATTCTTCAAGTTGGATATATGCATTCAAATTAATTCGATTTATTAAGCAAAAAAACTGAACAAAAAACATGATTTACCATTTGGTTCAGTATCAGTATTACAGTAAATAAATACTGATTACAGGCAGGTATTTCACAATTGTATGTTAAGGATAAACTGTACATTGAGTTTGGATTTACTATTGAACTGGATGGTTTCATCGTTGTATATAGCAGAGCAGCAAATCATCAAATATTTATCCATGGTGGGGTATCCTTGATGTTTCTGATTTTAAATCATTTGTCTTGTTAATCACACGTCAGTGATATTGAGGTAACAAACACTGGAAGTGGTGCTGTAACAGCTTTCTGTATCTCTCTGTAGGTCCAGGGACAGCCTCTGATGGTCCAGGTGAGCGGCGGGCAGCTCATCACATCATCAGGGCAACCCATAATGGTGCAGGCCATGTCGGGGGGACAGGGTCAAACCATAATGCAGGTCCCTGTGTCTGGAGCTCAGGGGTTACAGCAGGTAAGAGATGAGTCTTAGTTATTTCAATATGTTGTACAAGGACATTGTGTTCTCCTGTAATATAATTGGCAGATTTAAACATGACCTTGCTTTCAGTTATTGAATAGTTCCTGTACAAGTTACTGTTGACAAATGATTCTTACTTGTGAGTTTTTTCCCAATTTAAAGTGCCAAAAAACTAATTTTTCCTAACAATGTGTTTACCCAAAACGCAAATCTAATTATCGCCTTGCGTTACTTGACTAGTTTGACTGCTGCATAGGTCCATTCACTTGAGCTAGGCACGGGGGACAGAAGGATTTTATTATATGTACAGCACTTTGGCTCGACCAAAAATCGTTTATAAATGTGCTATATAAATAAAACTTGATTTGATTTGGGGCTCACCTCAATGTAGATACTAAAATTGAATAGTCCTTAAAAAGATCTTGAATTTCATGGTTTTTGTTTTTTCCCCCAACTTTTTTTAATCAAAGAAACATGACACTGTCACAATAAATAACCATGCTTTTTATACTGCTGATGCTCACTTTCAAGGAAACAAAAGAGGAAAATAAGTCACTGAGATGCCCTATATATGGCCAAAGTATTTGATCGAGTCCTGCGGGATGGGATCAGTGACGAGCGGTAAAGCTCCCCCCTAAATGTTCTACACCAGCAGGACTGAGTGTGAGCAGGTCCTTGATACGTGGCTGAAAGTGATTGCTCTGAAATGAACAAAAAACACAGCATTGCAAACTCGAAACAATTGTGAAATCCAGAGTCACTATTTTCTGCTGGTGCCGTGCAAAACTGTTCAGAAGATTTTCCACCAACACACTCAACAGAAAAGACTGGTTCCCTACGGATATAACTGGGAGTGCTTCAGTTGCTTGCCGAGCTTCCAGGTGTCTTTCTTCACTGATTACAAGGTTATGTTGAACTGAACACTGAACATCACCACATCGTTAGGCCAAATAAAACGCAGCAGAGAACATGCAAAGAGATGTTATGACCTCCAGGGCCCTGAGCTGGCTCTCAGCTCCTGTCCCACTAGGACTAGGATGTTGTGCCAACCCTAAACAACAATCTTAGTAAAGAGAAAAGAAACAGGCCATTCAGAGGGCTTTCTCGTAAATCACAAAGCATATAAAGATATCTCCATAGAGTTGTAAACCAGGCATCATTTGTTCTACAATGCCATGTAAGAAAAAAAAAAAGTATATCCCATTGTATTTTCAAATGTACACACATCTATTTACAGATAACTTCTGTGCAGATGTTTGTGTGATCTTACCTACATTTACCAATTAAAAACAAAACAAAACCTCTTAATTAAAGCATCTGAGAAACTGCTCAGGAAAAATCCATTATATTGCTCTTTGCAGAATACTATCCAGTCCAGTAGATGTAATACAGCAAGACCAGGGCCAACCATTTTCTGGAGAGCGAATGGTGATGTACTGTGAGAGCAGTATGCAGGACTTCCTTGGCATTGTTTAAAATGCAAAAAGGCAATGGTGGAATGGATGCTGGGGGGGGAGCTGATGTTATGACAATGGGAGTTGGGGATCCTCACACCTGTCTACGTTTTAGTTTTCTATGGAGCAGCTCTCTCGCCGTTTCCACATCCCAGGATTTTGAAGACAATGCTGCTACTACTGCATTCTGCAACAGAGTTTATCTATTTTGTGGTTGGAGTCGAGACAGGTGCGCCTGCAAAGACGTGAGACCACTGCCTCGCTGTCTGTTTATACATTGCTGGGTTCTTCTTGTATTGGTTTGCTACGACTGCATCCTTGAACCTTGATCATTGTGTTCTGCTGCAGCAAGGACAGCCTGTAGAGACCACAGCACCATCCTCAGGGTCATAGATGCTACCCACTGGTCTTTTAAAGTGTCCTGACAAATTGCTCCTGTCACATAACTGATATTAGGGTGCCAGATCTTAGTGATGAAACGCACCTTTGGTGGCTTGAAAGGATACGTTTCTGGGATTTTAATTTCAAGCTGAAATCTGCCACCTTCATATGGTGTATCTGGAGGACCTGCTATCTCCCCCCTCAGCTTTGTGAAGTTTCCATCCACCACTTCTACTCTTATCTGGTTTTTACTTGTCTCTTAGCTTTTGAGAACTTCTCTGAACTCCTGCCTGACCTGTTAGCCATGGCTGTGTCTCCTTGAATTTCATGTTGAGGAAAACGTGGGAACCATTATACAAGCAGAGGATAGTAATTATATGTATGGGAAAAACACACTGAGTTTATGTAAGCAGATGTAGGAACATATTGGATACACTAAGTTCCTTTGTGTGAGTGTTTTAGGTCACTGCAGTTAAATATAAATGAGACACAATGTTGAGATGTTTCTGAATCTGTGTGTGGTCCTTTTTCCGTGTGTAGATCCAGCTGGTGCAGCCGGGTCAGATCCAGCTGCAGGGCGGTCAGACCATCCAGCTGCAGGGCCAGCAGGGTCAGCCCCAGCAGATCATCATCCAGCAGCCCCAGCAAGCCACCATTGCTGGACAGAACCAGGTACTACATTCTGACCAGTTTAGTGGCAAATCAATTTAACAAATCGTTAATATGATTACTGAGTATGTGCTCTCCTACCTCGTGGTCCCTCAGGGGCAGCAGATCAGCGTGCAGGGCCAACAGGTGGCACAGACGGCCGACGGACAGACCATCGTCTATCAGCCTGTCAATGCAGATGGCACTGTCCTGCAGCAGGGTAAACTCAACTTTCTCGTACTTTTCTGCCTTTGCCTGTGTATACTTTACGAACAGGAGCACTGCTGAGTTGTGATTTTGATCCGTGATGATAATCCCCTCTTGCAGGAATGATCACAATTCCAGCTTCCAGTTTGGCCGGCGCCCAGATTGTGCAGGCAGGCGGTGCCAACACAAACACTACTAACAGCGGCCAAGGCACTGTGACCGTAACCCTGCCTGGTAACATGGTCAATTCAGGTGGAATGGTCATGGTAAGACCCGGTGCAGAGGTATCAGACTCTTCTTACCATTGTATTTAGTTTTTTTATATTTTTGAATCTAAACTTGTGATTTGGTGGAGGTCACTTTTTTTCAGAGCACCAAATGTAATTTTTCAATCTATAATTGTTTTGCTAATCATAACATATTTTTGTCTATCCATTGTGAATCTGTAGAAATTGGGTGTAGTTTGTATGCGAGTAATCATAATCTGGATGTGATTAATTCATTATTTGGTGATACTTAACTTTGTTGTCTGAATCAGTGAATTTTATCAAAAAGCTGACATGAACATTTTTTATTATATCTAACTTAAATTAACTTTGTTGAACCATGCCAATACATTCAGTGAATATTACTATGTTTATTCAAAGCCCCCAACTACATACATTTTTTCATATTTTGCCTGAATAAACCTCTTCTCAGGACTTTGAAGGCATTTGCAGAACATGTTAGATTGACAGCTCCCTTACTTCTCCTACACTTGTTAGGGCAGAACAACTTACACATTTTTCAAGATATTTTGACCTCATGCAATTCCAATCATTAGTCTTCCCAGTGTCACCCTATGGATGTCTATAGCTAGAATGACTGAGATCACCTGTATATGCAAAGTAACTACTTCTTTGTGTCAGCAAATAATTGTTTCCTTTCTCTGCCAGAGGCTAAAACACGGTTTCCCTGTGTGTATCTCTCCCTCTCTCAGATGGTGCCTGGCGGTGGTGCAGTTCCTACAATGCAGCGTATCCCCCTGCCAGGGGCCGAGATGCTGGAGGAGGAACCTCTCTACGTCAATGCCAAACAGTACCACCGCATCCTGAAGAGAAGACAGGCTAGAGCCAAGCTCGAGGCTGAGGGCAAGATCCCCAAAGAAAGGAGGGTAAGGACAATTAGTGGTCACCATGCACCAAACATGCAAACACATTTAAGAAGGGCAGCTTGATCATGGCCAAAATGATAATCAAAAATATTTTGATCAGTTACAATTAATTGATATTTTCATTGCACTTCCACAGTTAAAAAAATACAGCACCTCTTTAATTCATTCTCATTTAATAAAGGTAATTTCTTACTTGCACATAAGACAGTCAGTAAAATAAACACCTTACCTCTAGTGCAGTGTTTCTCAAAGTGTGGTCCGCGGACCAAAACAACGGATGTCTTTTATGAACATTTATCCATGCTGGAAGTAGATTTAGATGTTTTAGGAGTTAGATAGAGATTATTATCTAATATATGCATCCAATGAAGCATTGCATGAAGTCTGTTGATGAATCAGAGGCTGTTGTTGGGGCTGCAAAAACTTGTTTGTATTTGTTTTTGTAGGCAGGCCAGCCAAATGGTCACCAAGGTTCATGTTTTAATAGCATTTTTACAAAAAAAGCCCAGACGAGCCTAACATGTGAAAAAATTGCTTAGACCTCAGAGAGTTAAACTTGGGCCTGCGACCATAGTTTTACTGTATTTTGTTTTGAAAATCCATAGCGGAGGTTTATCTCGTACTTAGGGGTGTAACGGTTCACAAACATTTCTGTTCGGTACGTACCTCGGTTTTTAGGTCACGGTTCGGTACGTTTTCGGTGCAGCAGAACAATTTATCACAAAACATAAAATGTTTTTTTTTTTTTTTTTAATTATTATTAAACTGTGAATAATGTATTCACTCAAATAAATACAAAATATAATAAAATAAGCATTAAGGTGCAGCATTTCGATGAACTGAAGTAATCTGTATTTGAACTGTACTGTACTAGCACCTAAGCAGCCAGTTTGACATTAGGACTTGCTTGTCATTGTATTTTCATGTTTTTTTAAAGAAAGATGATCTTGTCCACATTGCTTGCTGAAAGGGCAGATCTGCTGGCACTAACAATGTCTCCTGCTGTGGAGAACACCCTCTCTAGGGACAGAGGTAGCAGATACAGCCAGGTAGCGCTTTGCTAACATGGCAACATAAGGATATTTGGTGTTTGTAATAGCTTTGGCTCGGTCTGAACTCTCTGCGAGTGGTGGAGGCTTACATGCTAGTGGGAGTTGGGTTTGCACTTCAGTCTTTTTTCTTTTGGTACCGGTGATATTCACGTTCGGGTGATGCCTTTTCAAATGAGTGTGCAAGTTTGATGTATTGCCAGCCGCGTAACCAATTTTAGTTGAACAATGCCGACAAACCGCTTTGGTTCGGTCCACCTGTCTTTGTCCGTCATCCTTGTACGTAACTGCGAAACCAAAATGTTCCCAAACCGGAGACTTCAATGATGCTGGAGGATTTTCGAGCTCAACTTTATCTGCGTTCGCCATTTCGACAGTTCCTCAAATTACTGACTAAATTTGAACGCATCCCTCTGACCAGCTCTCATCGTATGCCTCTCGTCCAATGAAATGACTTGGTCGCTCTATGACGCGTTGAACCCAATGTGAGCAAATTACTCTGAATGCTGCGACGCAGCACCTGAGATTACTTCCAAGAAGTTGTTCACGTTCTCAATTTTTTACGTTTAACGTTATATTCGTTCGGTACACTTCTTTACACATGTGTACCGAACCGAAGGGCCCGTACCGAATCATTTCGTTACAGGTACGTATACCGTTACACCCCTAGTCGTACTACATGCGGTGTATTTTACATATCTCTCAGTAGCCAACAATCTGTGAGTCTGTTGGCTCGGATATGAACTCCGTAATAAATGTAGTCTACATTTTACAAGAGGTATAAAACCTGTGAGCATTTTAAATCGCATTTGAACAAAAATATTTATATAATCTGTATTTGTATTATTGATTTAATGTGTGAACGAGGCGATGTAGAGAAGGTTAAACTGTCATTATTAGGCTGTAATTTTTGTAAGTGTTTTTTTTATTGGTTAAGTGGTCCTTGGTATGAAAAAGTTTGAGAAACACTGCTCTAATGGTAGTTAACCATGTACTGGGTGGAAAGTACACAAATGTGTTTTGTTTTCTGAGAGTATTTTTAATAACCTTTGGATCAGCACTGTTGTATATGTGTCATGCTCTTGTACTACTTATTTTCTAGCAAAAGTACCTTCACGAGTCTCGCCACCGCCACGCCATGCAGCGCAAGCGAGGCGATGGAGGACGTTTCTTTTCACCTAAGGACAAGGAGGAAATGGCTTTGGCTCTGGCACAGGTAAGAAATAATACATTTTCATCTAAGAACGGACAAACTTTCTCTTGTATGGAATTAGGGCATGAAACGCCTCATGAATTATCTTGCTGACCTCACTGATCCTTTATCCTCCTCTGCAGCAACAGCAGGAAGCGGCCCAGGCAGCAGGAGAGGAGACGGTGGCTCAGATGATCCGAGTCTCATAGCACCGCCGCAACACTTCTGCCTGTGAACTCTGCGCTGCCTGAAACTCTTCATCCCAGCTAACCTGATCTGCCGCACCTTCTTCCCTCACTTTTACTCTCTCCTGCCTGATTGTCATATGCCAAACGCCAGCGCCACCACTAGATCTCTTCTGATATCTCTCCCTTCCTACACTGGTCTTCCAGGCAGTTGACTGTGTGGCTGCTTCTCTGAAAGGGAGGGTCCTTTCCTTCTCCGCCTATCTGGTTAAGTGTTTATAAACAGGTTTTCATTTTCATAAGGATTTGTTCAGATTACTGAAAATGGAAGTTATGGGTAACTAGGGCTAATCACACTTCAAATAACCTCTGTGAAGCCTTGTCGGACCCCGTTAACAAAATCCAATTTGCTACCAGTGAATAATTATTGCTTTTTAATATTTTTTGTAAATGGTACAGATTTATTTTCAGAGACACTCATTAAGCATGGATTTAACCTTTTATGTGATGCCATATATTTCCCTTTTTTTTCAACCCATTTACGGTGGGGACGGACTCAGCATCATAAGTCCAACCTGTGTCCACTGAGCAGAAAATGAAAAGAGAACTAATGTGAACATATTGTACAGAAATTTGTTTCCCCCCCTCCGTGTGTATCTGGTGTACTAATTAGTTTTCCCATTTCTGTGGATGCATTTTAGACAGTGTCTGTAGAAACACAATGACTAAATGTTTAATTACATTACACATAATATCCATGTAGTTACTTCCTTATTGTTCTCAGTTGTTTTTTTTCATTGTAGATAATAGATTTTTTTTACCCATCAAATGCAGTACTGCAATGTTTTGTTCTTTTTATAATGGAAAAAAGGGTAAAAGATTCATGAAACCTATGTCCATTAAGTGACTCAAGGTTGTTTGTGGTTACTTCTTCAATCCCAGTTTTGGCTAGTTAAGAAATCCTTTGAATTATATCCATTGGCATGCTGTAAAAGTTGTAGTTCAATATTTTGCTTTTGGGTAGTTTAATCAACATAATATATATCATTTTTAGAAATAGAGTGTGCTAGAATTACGAAGTAGCCAGAAATATAAATGCTCAAGTTAAGTACAAGTACTCCAAACTAGTTTTAAGTACAGCACTGATAAATATTTAATTGATATTCTGATTTATTTAGACTACACCAAATGGTAGAAACATAGAATAAAAACAGTAGTACAAAGGTAAACAGAATAATAAATATCTTATCAAGTAATTTGAAGAGAATGAACATTATTTGACAAGCATCTTGTTTACAAAATAGACTTGGTTTATCTGTCTGCAAAAATGTTGTCAACCAGAAATGTTTTCGACTCTCAATCTAGGGAGGTTGTGGCTCAGTGGTTAGTGCGCTGATCTTCGGATCACGGGGGCACTGGTTCGAATCCTGCTGCAGTCAACATTCCACTGTGTCCTTGGACAAGACACTTCACCCTAAATTGTTCATGTGGGAATTGCCCACAGTATTGAATGTATATAAGTCGCTTTGGACAAAAGCGTCTAACAAGTGACATGTAATGTAACCATGGGTGTTTGTTCACATTCAAACAAACTGATATTTTTTCCCCAAAAAGTTATTACATAAATGGCAAAACATATGATTATTTTCCAGATCTTTTTATCCTACTGCATTTTTATGAATCTAGGTATTAGAAACTCAAAAGTACAAATAGCTTGGACATGGCTCCTGTTTTTCACAAAGGAGACACTTTTCAATGTTAGTCCCCTTTCGATTTACAATGCAAGTCACATACTCTGGAGCTCCACTTCTGCAGGAACCTCTGCTCTAGATCAATGGTTTTAACCAAATTATTACCACCATTCAAATTGTAAATATTTGTATTTCTGTTAAAAGTGGCATAACAATTTAACATAATTAAATAAATGTGTCTCCCGATATGGGACGAAATCCTTTGGTCTGTTCTCTGAGCTACATCCCAGGTTTACCACTGTCCCGAGCAGGCTCAGCCAATCAGACGCTGTAGATTATAGACGTATCACAGCAAGCCAATCACAGTGAAGGAGGCGGGACTTGTACTCAGCCTCCACTGTCAAAGCCAGGGTCATTTAAAAACATCAGCTATTGAAACAGAACATAAAGGTTACACTTGCACCGACTCACAAGTAGAAACAAATAAATGCAGTCCAATTAACCCAAGATAGCGCTGCTCTTGAAACCAGCGTCAGTCGTTACTTCTGCATTTTGCTCCGCACCGCCCACACGCTTCTGGTTCAGATGACAGCCTCACCGCCCCCTCCCCTCCGAGAGGTTGCTGTCTGTGGATGACAGCAGACCTGGAGGACAGAAACAAGTGTTCATTCCGCTCTTTTAGACTGTAGAGAAGGTAGAAAACGGGTTAATCTCTGTTCAAAGTTGGCTAATTATTGCTCTGCACTGACGGTGTAGTGGAAGTGCTTCAGCGACGGTTCGGTCATTTTAAGCCTCGAAGCTTAACGAAGAGAGAGCAAGAAGACGACGGACAAAGCTAGCGCTAACTGAATCACGTTTATTTCTCAGTCTCCACATCTCTTGCATGCAACAATGACCGACTCGGTTGTAGACAGCAAGGCCGAGGTGAAACAAGCCACGAAATATGTCAAAGAGACCGAAAACGTAGCAGAGAAATATTCAGCGATGACTGTGAGCAAGAACAGCAGCGATGTGAACATGAACGTCGGGGAGATGCCCTCCGCAGCGTTCACCGCGGTGCCCACTCTGAAATCCGTCAAAAAGGTAAGAAACGAGATGCTCGCCATCACTCAGTGCCTCTGGGCAAAGAGACTGAGCACTGTAGGCAGACACATGTGAGGAGGTACGCATCTCACTGCAGTGAAGTACTAGCGTGCAGCAAGGCCAGGAAATGTACCGTTTGTTGAGTTATGCACTCATAAGAGACAGAAATGTTGCATGCAATGCTGCGGTGTCACACTGAGGGCTCCCTCCACCCCATGACAGGCTGCTAACAAGTTAAATGTTCCCATTTATATCAGTCAGATTTTACTAAGCATCTAGAGAAGTTAGTGCACAGAAACAAAGGCTTTGCTTCGCTGTTTTTCAGGTGCTTTCAGTATTTGAGTACTAAACCATATACTTTTAAAGTAGCTTTCATCAAGATTAGAAAAAAAATGCTTTCCTGTTTATTTATATCAGAATGTCTGCATCATGCCAACATCCTGTGGGCAGGAAACAACTAAAAGCCAAGTTGAGCTCTTAAACCTCTCACCTAAGGCCTCTGCAAAGTAAAGTCATAAATGCCCTAACAGGTTTAGACAGGGGTCTGAAGCACGCAACACAAGTGGTATTAAATGCTGTGTTGGCTTTGCCTTCAGAATAATCTCAATCCTCCAGGAATAGCAGGTGGTGGAAATTCCATTTTTAATAACAAAATGGTATCTATACTTAGTGAACTCATCCTTATGTCGTCATTCGCAGGAATATGTGTTGACATCATCATTGTTAGGAATAAGAACAGCATGATAGAAATGTTTTAGCAGCTCAAAGTGCGCATATGAGAAATCGCCTTGAATTTCTTGGCTGTTACACAGCACAATCATCTATAAGAAAGACTCCCTTGAGGTGCTGCTTTCAGATCTACCACGCTGTGTAAATGCTGGCAACAGGCAGAGGGTAAACATGGAACAAATAAGTGAAGGCTCCATTATACTCAGCATTCTTAAATTTGCCATGTCAAAAAAGAATGTTCTACCTTCAAGGTGACCTTATGACACCTGTCCTCCTTACTGTGCCGCTTTGTGTTGGACACAACTGATCTAGCACCTCTTTTGAATACATTGTTTATTAGTGTTAGGAGGATTAACGTGAGTCATTGACTTTTTGGCTGTGAGTAACAAAAGCTGTTGTTTGGATTTGTGCATAAATTAGTCACAAGTATTGCAGAATTATGAAATGTGGGTAAGTGGGTAAATCTCATGATGACACGTGCCAGCACAGGAACACTGCAGTGGCAGAGGAAGTCAACGAATCACAAGCAAACGGCACCATTGTGACTAAGACAGTAATGTTTAAGTTAATTCCTGAGGAACAAACATGGGGCCTGTAAAACAGCTTTGCTCTTATATGACCTAGTTCTTCTGTCCTATCAACGTTTATCTGGTTCCTGTTAGATAAACTAACAAACAAAGTCTTAAAAATCACCATGGATACGAAAATATCGGACATTCTCAACAAAACTACAAAATATGAGCTTCACCAATCTGAATTTGACTAGTAATGGACCATTTATTTGTCAGTCAGTAGGGATAATAGATTAAATAAATAACATAAGCATACTTTATTTTCCATTACATAACATGAAATTGAGTATTTCTTTGTCATTCTGACAACCCAGTGTAAAACAAAATGTAAGAACATTGACAAAATACAGTTAGGAGCTGCTAAAATACATAGAATACATTATACACAATGATACTTCTTGTAAAGCTGACTTTGTGAAATGATTGAATCAAAGTAGAAGTATGTCAACAAATTTACAAAATAATGAGCATAATAAAGAATTTATTTTCCCAGCAGCGGGGCTCACAGACTTCAGAATATCAGCTCAGACCCCCTGTCTGTCGAGGCAATACTGTGTGGACCGCACTCACCTCGGGGAGCCTGATTGAAAACATATTGGATGGTAGGAATGTGTGCTCCGCTTATGAAAAACAAAGCAGTGTGTTATGAATAAACGTGAGAGCCCAGAGTCAAGCCGAGCCACCTGTTTGCCTGGAAAAAATGAATATGTAAAACAAATACTGAAAATGATTGGGAAACTAGATAAGATTATTTAAAATCCCTGCGAGTATCACAAATAAAAAGAAAAGTTAGATGTCTGTTGAAGTTATGAGGCTGGTGCCTAGTCACATTATCTAGTGAGAGGTGCCACGAACAAAAACAATCAATGCTGAAATGAGTGTGTGTGTGGGTGGGCAAATCAAACGCCACTACTCTTCCTCCACTCTTTCTGAATCTGTTACACAACACGCCCCCTGGGATCAGGACTCATTCTCTGTGAATCTGTTCATGCATCATCATCATTTCTATCTGATCCCTGGGGGGCTGTTTTACATACATTCTCAAACATATCCGCCACTATCTCATCTTGTTTGTCTGCCAACATTATGGCAGTGTTTCGTGAAGGTCAAATTAGATTTTCCTTCCCTCCGGCAGTTTAAACATAGATATGGATGAGGATCAGCACCTCCAAATCTGAGGCCATGGTTCTCAGCAGGAAACCGATGGACTGTCCACTCCAAGTAGGGAATGAGTCCTTACCCCAAGTGAAGGAGTTCAAGTATCTCGGGGTCTTGTTCTCGAGTGAGGGAACAATGGAGCGTGAGATGGGCCGGAGAATCGGAGCAGCGCGAGCGGTACTGCAGTCGCTTTACCGCACCGTTGTGACGAAAAGGGAGCTGAGCCAGAAGGCAAAGCTCTCTGTCTACCGGGCCATTTTCGTTCCTACCCTCACCTATGGTCATGAAGGATGGGTCATGACCGAAAGAACGAGATCGCGGATACAGCGGCGAGATGGGTTTTCTCCACATGGTGGCTGGTGTCTCCCTTAGGATAAGGTGAGAAGTTCGGTCATCAGGGAGGGACTCGGAGTTGAGGCCGCTCCTCCTTCGCGTCGAAAGGAGCCAGTTGAGGTGGTTCGGGCACCTAGTTAGGATGCCCACCTGGGCGCCTCCCTAGGGAGGTGTTCCAGGCACGTCCAGCTGGGAAGAGACCAAGGGGTAGACCTAGGACCAGGTGGAGGGATTATATCTCTTCGCTGGCCTGGGAGCGCCTTGGGATCCCCCAGTCAGAGCTGGTTGATGTCGCCAGGGAAAAGAAAGTTTGGGGCTCTCTGCTGGAACTGCTACCCCCGCGACCCGACCACGGATAAGCGGGAGAAGATGGATGGATGGATGGATATGTCCAGTTTATGTTATAAAAAGAAATGGACTCACATTAGCCCAGTGGTTCTCAACCTTTTCATTCCCCACTTTGAACAGGTGGGCCTTTTCAAGCCCCACCTGTTCCTCATCGCTCCAATAAAATGGTAGGCCAAGCTTAAAATTGTCAAATGTATTGTTCTATAACAGGGGTCTCCAACCTTTTTTAGGATGAGAGCTACTTTCAAAAGAAATAAAACAAGTCGTGAGCTACTTTTACTCCTCTTTTTTGTTTTTTTATGTATATGTATATATATATATATATATATATTTAGCAAATGTTAACATTATTATATGCTTGCCTTTAACCTTTGTGTGCTGTTGGAAGATTTTCTTTTAAATGTTGAAGTTAAATGCATCAATCTGAGCACAGAGTGCATTTCTGGATACAGCTCTCTACACTCAAGGGAGCTGTATACTTTTCAATAATCCAAACATCTTCAGAATATGATCACAACTAATAACAAATCATTTCAAACTTTGGTTATATCTTATGTTTCCTAGTTAGCATTCTTTCTTTTTATTTTATGCATATTTAACTAATCACTTTTAACAGTTTTTTTTTCTTTTTTACCTGTCATATAGTACACATTGGAGGAATTATTTCTTAATTTATGTTTTTTACAACTAGGCCTATAGTAAATAGATAAAAAGTCCTCTCTCGATCCTCATCTCTATCCGTCTCTCTCTCTCTCTCTCTCTCTCTCTCCTCTCTCTCTCTCTCTCTCTTCTCTCTCTCTCTCTCTCTCTGTCTTCTTCCTGTTTTTCTCTCTCTCTCTCTCTCTCTCTTCTCGCAGCTGTGTGCTCCTCCTTGGGCGATGACAGCTTGCGTAAAAAATAATAATAAACATAGGCCTATTTGTAAAAGTGGGGGGACACAAAACGGGATTTCGAAAAGTGTCACGGTTTTTTAAACCTCTCCTTAGGAAAGTGGTGAGGTACCGCTCCCACATTGCTTTCTTCTTTCTCCGACTG